TAGAAATGGGGAGAGACCTGTTCTGTTTCTAGGGCCCTGTTCCTGTAAGAACTGGAAGGTTCAGGAAGAGTCTGGTGGGGTAGAGTGTTAAATTATATCTTGGCAAAGGCACATACACAGTCCAGGTCTGGTGACTGAATTTCAGTTTTTACAGCTTCTCTCCTCATTGACGATTACCTTATTTCATCATCTAAACTTTTGAAGGGAGACATCGTTCAAAGTTATTATAGCATCTTTGTGATTTCTCGAGATGGATCCAAAATAATATGGTCTTGCAAAGCAGATCATGTGCATGACCATGTGTCGCATTTATAATCTTCTCTGAATGACCAAAAGAAATGAAAACACTTCAGGAAACGGGTCTGTAGGAAATGCAAAGGACCTAATGGGAGATTGCAAAGGTCCTGTGTGTGTATATGAATAACCTTTCCATCTGACTTTAATTTGTAAATCTTTTCTCTGGTTAAAAACAAAAAACAAACAAACAATAAAACTAGAGAATTAAAAACTCCCCAAATGCAGGGTGCATTAAACATCATTAAATCTAGCATAAAATTTCTTGAACCTGTCAGATAAAGGAAATCATATATCTAGAGTAAAGAGGGAATATCAGTTGACAGGAGTCTATGAAGCTGGCATGTATTCTGAGAGACATATGAATCTCGAAATCCAATAGTGCCTCAGCCTTTGAAAATACTGGAAGTCAAAAGGTATTGGCAAAATCAGTTAAGGCAAAATTTTTCATCCTACTGGTTGGAATGACTCTGACAAGAATTAATGGATGCAGTATTTCTAGAACACTAAAAGAATATTTAAATATTATCCCTACCCATAGAAAACAAAGATACAAAGCCTTCTAACTTCTAGTTGAAGGGAAAAAATCTGGTAAAATTAAAGACCTGTCTATTGAGGTCATCCTTGCCCAGTTGTCACACCTTTTACTCTCCTCAGTCAGATGACTGTCGAACTTCAGTTCATCTGAACCTTAAACTCTATCATCAATGCTGTGACACATTCTAATTTTCTGATTCAATTGCAATAAATAAGCAGTCCCTTTTCTAGTCACAATCCTCAGAGTAACCAATTTTGCAAGTGAGTTATGATGACTGATTTTTTTCTTTTTATTGCTGCACTGTTATTGTTCCCTCTTAGCAAAGTTTGTGTCAGTCTTTACCATCCAGTGTTACTCCCATATTCAGAAAAGCCCTTGACCAGTAACACTGCCTGAGCTGTGAGTTAGTTGAGAAGAATAAAAGACTGACAACCAGGATTCTGTTTTTAACCCAGCCATGGACCTCAACTGGCAAGAGGCTCAGCTTCCTCACCATAAAATGGGTATAATAATAGCTTTCCCTTACCACTGTGAAATATTTAAAATGCAAATGAAGCCAAACCTGCCTCCTTCCAAAGAGAAGCTTAAACCAGCCTGCATAATCCTGAATGAGCCCAAATTTCAAGGGGAAACATAAAGTGGGAAACACCTAAACATAGTATAATTTAGTGATTAACAATATATAGACTTTGGAATGGTACAGACTTACTCAGAGGCCAGCAGCTATGTGATTTGGGGTAAGTTTCCTAATTTCTGAAATCATTTTTCTTTTAATAACCTGTAACTGTTTAGGAACTATTTCCTTTTATACCGAGGATTAAATGATTCATTTTACCAGTGCTTTTCAAATTTGCACTTAGGCAATCCTCAAGTTAGAGTGAGTCAGGATGCCTACTGGTACATTGCTCTGTGTACCACAAACAAGACATTTTAGGGAGTTCTAGAGTGTCACCCTCAAAAGACCTACAAGTTTTGCTTTTTACTCCTTTGTATAGTCATGATTGTTTTACTAAACTGAACGTGAGGACAAGTATCTGTTTCATTTCTTCTATAACATCCAAGAAATCATTAGTAGATAAATGAATACACGAGCAAACAACAGTTTACGTCGTTTACTCACGAGGAAACCAGATCTCCAGGAAGACAGCTATGACTCAGTATGTGTGGCTTCATGCACCCCATGCTGCTCCTGCACATTCCTGGGTGTGCCCATATCTGAATTAAAGAAGCCTCTACTTAGCAAGATGCCTGAAACCACAGAAGGTACTCAGTGAATAGAAACTTTCATTTTATCATTTCTCTACTCCATAATCCTCTACCCCATTGTAGTGGCAGCCTTATGGGTATTTTAAAAAGAAATTATAATCATACTTTGACTGATCAAAGTACATTATATACATTATGAAAGTACTATGATCAAGCCCATTATTTTATACAATTAATATATGCTAATAATAATGGATGGAAAAATATCTATATAAAGGACTGGGGAGGTAGAAGTCTAGGGGACCTTAAAGACACCTGTGTGACTCTACATCTTCACTGACTCAGAGCTCTGATAGTTTGTATTTTCTTTACTCCTGGCTTCAGCTTATGGTTTGTTTAAACTTCCTAGAGACAATTTAAAAGAGAATTTTCTTTCCTCACCCCAGGCCATAAGGAGCATAGCTGGCCTTCAAGGGGACCCGAAGCTCCTTCAAACTTGGTGTTTTTGGGTTTTCTGGGGAAAGGGATTCTCCTAGGAATCTGTATCACCTCCAAATGTTGAAAACCACTGCCCTAGAACATTATGTGAATTGGAATTAGAGCAAACTCATCTTTTAAGTTACAATTAATGCTTTTAGGTCCTTGGAGACTGACACTTTTGGAATCGTGAAACTAAGATTAGCCAAGACTACAACTCCCTCCTCCTGCCCCTCACTCTACTCGTGCACCCACTGCTGGGTTTTTAATGGCCTGAATTATTTGGCCTTTACAATTTTATATCCTTTGCTACATATTTGTGTGTCGAACCTGGCATGTTCAATGCAAATTGTTTAAATCCTATGCAAAACTGTTCTACATAATTCTTTGCATTTTATAGAAAAGTAACTTACAGACATATAAGGTGAATATCACTAAAGTAGAAAGGGCATGTTTCAATACATAACAGTTTCAACTGGGCAAAAGTAAATCTGTTGATTAATACATATTGTAAAATTGCATAGCAGATTGCAGTTCAATCAAGAAGGACATACTTATAAATTGTACAAGAAATACGAAATTAAGTTTTTAGTCTTGGTTTGAAATTTGGTGTCATTTATTGTGTTGCATTAATATGAGGACAACGATAATACCAAAAAAAATCTTCAATTTAATTTAGCTTTATTTGTCTTAAACTGTTAGCATGTACTGTAATTGTTCTCCCCACCTTAGCTTCCTGTCATTGGCAGCCTGTGTGACGTTTGACGTCAGGAAGGATAGTTTATTATTCCTCAGTTTTATTTGTGAATCGGTACAATTTACAGTGATACTTTCTATCATATAAAAAAATCTAATTTTAACTAATTGTGGAATTTAAATAGGAAAGTTACCTGCTTAGCTATAAGGGTGGAAATACCTGAAATAGTTTCAGAAGAACAGAATGCATTGTTGAGTTATTTCATTTAGAACAAGCAGTGGATAAATGGCAATTGAGCATATTTTATAGAAAACCGCTAATAATACTTTCTCCTTTCCCCAAAAAGATTGAGAAAGAAAGCTGCTCCAAAAGTGGGGGAGGGAAGAGTGAAGAGGTAGAAAGGAGGGAAAAGAGGGAGCAGTGCCCGTGCAGAGTGTAGTCAGCCTTAGCTGGCAGAGAAGACGTGAAGCTACAAAACCACAAATGCTTTGAAGACTAATCAGCTCTTATTTTGTTTTTTCCATTTTGTATGTATTTACAGTAATTCATGCATATTCTAATTATTTTCCCTAAAATTTTTGTTAAACTCATCAATATTGTGGGGAAAAAAAATGAAAGCACGGGAGCCCCTCCATGTGTCTTGTCTTAGTGCACACCGTGATACATGTGGCCAATTTTCTTCCTTTTTTGCATTTTTAAATGAATTTTTCCCCAAAATTTTCTCCTTAACTTGTCTTGTCCCAAGGGGATGCCATTGACACCTGTATGTACACAAGCAGTTCTCATGTCGACCGTACAGGGGAAAACATTTCTTGAGAGAAATCTCTAAATGGTGCATCTCATGGTGCATTTGTCTAGAAAACTTTCTGGAAAGTAAGGTCTCTTGAAGTTAGTTTTCTGCTTTAACCTGTTTCAGTCCTTCAAGTCAGTATCCTTTGATAAAGATTATTTTGCTATTTCTGGAGGGAGGCCTTCTCTAAAGTGGTTAAAATAATCCTGGCAGGGGGTCAAAGTTCAGCAAGCATATATTAAGTATCTGTTATGCTCTAAGGGAGCTAAGTGGGAGGACTTGCTTTGATTATTAATTGCTTGTAGATATTTTGTTACCTTAACTTAATCTCCTACAAGAGAATCTATCAAAACAGTGGTGGGCATTCCAGTCCTAACAGGTTATTTGGCATGTAATTTGAAGGTTGTAAAGGAGAATTATTAGACTTTTAAACATAGAATGTGAAACTCTTGAGGTAAACTTCCCCCAAACCTGGAAGTGTCATCATTAGAGATGTTTTGGGGAGACAGAGGCTTTCATCTCAGTCCCTCTGTCACAATATTCCCACCAACAGTGATAGAAACATTCTCTGTGCCATGCAGTAAAGCAGCCAGCAGCCACAAATGGCTATTGAGTACTTGGAATAGGCTAGTGGGACTGAGGGCCTGAATATTTAGTTTTCTTTATGAAAGTTAAAAAATTAGAATAGGCAGGTATGGCTAATGTTACTGTATTGATCAGGAGCATGGCTCTAGAAAATTCTGTATGGTAGAGATGAGGTAAAAATTAACAGGAAAGGTCTTGGCACTCTTTGTACTAGAGTATGCTGTTGTAGGCCATCAGAGCAAGGGCACGCCTTTTGAAAATTCCCATGAGACTTGATAGTCTTTATTTTGTGGCTAATGTGACAAAATGAGTTCCTTTGGGAGCAGCCAGTCCCATCAATATCTAAGGATTTTTTTCCCCTCACTCTGTCATTTAATATGTGTTTAATTCTTTTTTTTTTCTTTCATTTTCAGTTCCTTGATCACCAGTCTGTTGCCTGTTCCCTCTTTTTATGTAAGTAAAAGTGATTTCTTTACCTTTAAAAATGGTGTCAGATTTATGAAATTTTGGCCCTGAGTGGCATATTTTCTAGTTGACTTTGTTGTGGTTTCTAGCACATAGTTAGTATGTTTGAGTTTTTTTCCATGCTTGGAGCCAATACTGTTGGTGGTCATGGTGAGTTGTCATCCATGAGGGAGCAGAACAGACCAGCAGGCCCAGCCACTGCACTTCTGAAAAGACTGCCCTTTCCCTCGCCACAGCTGCTATTTGCAAAAGTCACTGCTCTTCTGAACTAAAGCTTGCATTCCTCAGCCAGATATCAGCAACAATTGGGCTTTTGCTCCCACTGTCAATCAATGGGCAATTATTTATTTTTCATTTATTCACCCATCCCTAGGCCCAACCATTTTTAATTTTAGCTTTTAGATCAGAGCTTTCATTTATTGATGAAATTTATAATATCCTTTTACTAAAGAAGTATGAAACTGAAAAGTAAATAGGCTAAAATTTTGTGCAAAATTATGAAGTCTAAGGAAAAAAAAAGAAAGAAATCCAGCTTTCACATGTGCCAGCAGGTTTATAGAATGTTATAGAATGTACCATTCTTTTTCAGAAAATATAGGAAATGGCCTGGGAAAAAAGAAAAAGGAATAAAAAAATCCTTAATTTTAAATGAAAACAAGAACATTTATTATTTAAAGACCAAATCAAGCTACATGGAGCAGATTTAGATAAATATTACTTAGAGCTGCTTAAAAGAGGTTTCGGGGCTGTGAAGCCAATAATCAATGTCACTACAAGAGACACCACCCAAGAAATCCTACAGAGAGTGGCAGTCACCTCAGACGATGAATGACCACGAGCTTCCCTCTAGCTGAATCTCACTCTGTGGTACACACTGTCCCTTACTCACATAATGTCTGACCTTACTGACTCCTCACTCTGGTATTTCTTGTGTTGTAGTGATCTGAGCCAAAAGAGACTTCCGTGGCTCTTTTCTTGTGTCTGGCTTCCACCAACATTCCTAGAAGCTAGAGGCAAATATATTTAGGAAAGCAGAATTCTCCAAAGGATGCTAAGGCTAAAGTCGACTGTGACATTTTATTTGACATAGAAAAGAGATTGATTAGACTCTCCAAAGACGTGCTGTGTTTAATGCTTTTATACAACAGGGGTGGGTCTCACATGCCCCCAAGACTTGCCATTTCCCCTTCTCAGTCTTGATAGTGGGTCTGCTAATGCTTCAGAAGGTGTCATTGTGCATGCTTGTGGTTGCCACTCTGTGTCTTTGCGTCCTTTCCCTTAGTTACCTAGCGCTGCATATTTCTAGTCTTCTAACTAGCAAATCATTTCTGTAACAGTTCTTTTGTGTAAAAACAGTTCGCATAATAGCTCTGTGTTAGACAAGGCATTAATCCTCACATCACCAGGATGAGTCAGCATGATGCACTGCTGCTGGCCTGGCTCAGCTATTATGACATCAGTGCCTTAGGCCAAGCCTCAGACACAAGCCGTATAGCAGACCTGTATCACCTATTTGAAATCAAGGGGGAGAACTTTGAGGAAAAAAAAAAAAGCATAATTAAAATGCTGTTTCTGGCTTATAGGAAAATGTGAAACTAATTCTGTGCTACATCAGTGATCAGTTGAGCAGCTTCTCAAAAAATACTATTTTTTAAGCAGAGATAAGGCTTGGAAAAAGAACTGTATAGCCAGTTGATAGTCCATTCAAGTACCCATGACCTTGTCCTATCCCAGAGCCAGGCTTCATGCTCGCTTGGCTTATTACAAATCTTGCCTTTATGCCAGGAGGGTGACAGGACCAGTGACAATCCTTCTGTCCTCAACTGCCCCATGGACAGAGCTGATGTCTCCAGGGGTGGTGCCCTAGAGGCTCATCATAAGCAAAGGAAAAGTTCTTGGGAATAGACCAGAACATTATCTCCCTAGTGCCTTTGCCTTCTTCAGTGACCTCCTCTGGACAGGTGCAAAGCTCGGCCTGCTTAACTTCTCTCCTAGGCACTGCATCCAGTGTCCCAATCTGGATTTGACCCAGCTTTGAATAGGAGCCGAAGAGACAGCCAGACATCCTCCAAGAGTTTTCTACCTCCTCACTCTTCAGCAGAAATAGAAAGAAGACTTCCATAGCCTGCCATGCTGCCATAAAGCAGGTGGCATAAACCAGTCCTGTTTGGGAAGTAGGCTTCTCTGCAATTTAGACTTAGATAAATTCCAGGACAGTGCCTTAGAGCATTAAAAATTAAGCATCAGAAGGGTGATAATGTCTTCCTTTATCAAAATTCTGCTAAAAAGACATTCCTCCATCACAGCATCCATCCCTCCCTCTTACTCTCACCCCAGCCAAACACCAGCCCTGTGATAACCATCAGAAAGTGCCTTACTGCTGGGATCTTCCACCTTCATTAGTTTGCTAATAGTCTCCTACCATGCTTATAAGAGCTACTGCTACTGCTTGGCTTAGTTTTGATTAATTATCATGCACAGCTCTTTTATTTAGTTTTCAGTCAACAAACATTTATAGAAAGCTTGTTGCAGTGTCTGGTTGTGGGAACTCCAACATAAATGAGAAATGCTGCCTTTCATTAAGAATCTCATAGTCTGAGGCTGCGGGTATAGTTCATGGTAGAGCACTTGGGGTAATGCTCACTGAACTGGAGCAGGAGTACAACCCTGGGTTTGACCCACAGCAATGGGAAAAACTCACAATCGACTAGGGAAGATGAAAGGTGTGTGACAGCTGTAAGAATGCAGGTATATACTAGGTGCATAGAGGGGCATGAGAAAAGAGGGCCCACACATGTGGAGAGGTTCAAGCTGGTTTACAGTCAAAATAGTGCATAGAGGCTTACCAGGTAGGTATCAGAGAAGAAAAAGAGAAGGTTTCAGCATCAGAAACAAAAGCATTTATAAGTGAGGAAGCATCAAGTTGCAGCCAGAACCAGGCATGAGACTTAAAGAAATTACGTTTTAGAAAGAATACTCTGATGATGGTAGACATGGTCAAATGAGAATAGGGTGGTGATCAGAACAAAGGTAAAAATCAAGGGCCTGAGCTGCACAGTGGATGGAGTGGAGAGGAGAGGCTATTAGGGAATGTTGGCATAGGCATTAATGTTTGTCTAATCCCAGCATATCTTTGCCCACCATATAATCCTTGCCTTATATGGGGCCAAATTTAAGGCCAAATCCATTTTTATAAGAACTTCACTGGAGACCCCAGTTGGAATCTAATTTCACTCTGAGCTGCTGTATACTGGTCTTGGAATGGGGAGGGGTCTCCTGCCCACAGTGGGCATGAGACAGGAGGAAAGAGAATTGATGGAAAGACAAATGAAGCCATTCTTAATAATGGCTCCCTAAAGTCAATGTGCTGATTTCCTGTCATTTTTCCATTGCTGCTTTTTCTAAGCAAACTTCCCAAGCCATTGATCTGAACGGCAGCTTATGCACAGCAGGGTGTTGAAACAATTCAGTATATCCATTCCTTCTCTCTGAAGTGGAGTTCCCCAGAAGTATGCTTTTCTCTTGTTCACTTTGGGCTGCCAGGACAATTTAAAGGGAAATTTCAGCAGCTTGTGTCTCACGTTCCATGTTCTCTTTTGCAAACAGGAGGCTATGTGTGGGCGTGTTTAAGTCGCCTCTATATTGCTTCCTAGAAAGGTTTGAGAAGATGAGCAGGATGAGGAGTAGAGACCTATTGAAAGCCCAGATCCCCTAGTGACCTCAGTGTAAAATGTAGGCTGGTGATCAGATGGTCAATTATGTGTTTGTCAAAACACAGTGGGCTGCATTCCAGACTGCCAGCTTTGGAGGCCCAGCTTCTGCCAACCAAATGTCATCTGGGAACATGCAACACTGGGCACTGTGAAGGAGTTTGAAATAGACCATGCCACAGCCAACCTACTGCCAGTCTTATAGCACCAATATGGCATGCACAGCCGGGCCCCATGTTTCAGAGCTCAGGAATTCACTGTACTCAATTCAAGAGGTCAGATGGGTTCATGTTTTCAAAGCCTATGTTCTCTGCTTTGAACACTGTGACTTGTTCCTCAGCAATTTCCAAGGGATTTTTCCAGTCACATCTCTGTGGAAACCACTCTTTTTGTGATGGTTATGAGAGCCTTGTAAATGTCCCAGAGGAGGGGCGGGGAGGAATAAACCTGCTCTGACAATGACTGTGATTTCTACAAGGGATTCCAACTCTAAGGAAATTACATTAAAGGTGCATAGCTTTTAAAATATCAGGAACCACCTTGGCAACTTATAAAAAGCAGAAGGGCTTTGCCTATTTTATAAAGTGATTTGCATATACCTGCATAAATAATGTCCCCACCTGTACTTTTATGCATTTAGGTTGAATAAATTAAATTCAGTGATCTTTAAAATCTTCTGTGTCTTTCATTGCTCAGACACCATTTTCAAGACCCTTCCTCTTCATTTTTCCCTCCTGTGGTAGGAGTGTCTATTTTTTAATCTTTTGACTAATTCAGAGAACCCAAACACCCTGCAGACCAATCTGCCACAGCCAGGACGATTATCACCCTCTGCTTGTTTTCCTTATCCTTCCTAACTACTGGACCATGAATTACACATATTTTCCATAAGAGAAAATGGAGGAGTATTTTAATAAGGTGAAAGTAGAGCACAGGATAGGGTTAACCCAGGGATGTGCTCATAGTCACCTTTTCTCCTGTCCTTCCTCCTTCCTTTGCTCTCTTGCTCCCACATTCTCTTTCTGTCCCTCTCGCCTTCTCTCCCTCTCTCTGTCTCTTGACAAGGTCTTGTATAGTACTGGGATTACAGACCCACGTTGCCATACTGAATTAATCTTTGCTTTTTGGAAAGGGCTGTTAGCACAGCCTCTTCAGAAACCACCCATCTACCTACTCATATCAGTTATAATTTGGGCCTTCAAAATCAAAGCCTGGTCAACAGACCTCCCATAACCACATTCATCCTGAAAGATATTATTAGGTATTTACCATGTTTTA